GCAACACAGCTGAACTAGGGGCAGGGGTGAGTCTGCCCTGGGCTTTTCCTGTTGCTGGTTTGTACTTTCGTGATTAGAGTTATCTCCGTCCAAGGTTTCTTTGCAGGGACTCTCTGAAGCCACTTGTCCACACCAAGGGGGCTGATTCAGCGAAAGCTGTATCCTTTGAGCCTTGGATCCGCCCAGGGGCTCCTGCGCACCACAACGTGCGGGGATAGTCCGGATGTGGCGAGAGGGAGCGGTGGCCGCAGCAGCCCCGCCTGCGCTGTGGGGCTCCCGCTTAGTGGGCACGGCGCGCAGTGTCGGACACGGGCCGGGGTGCACGGCAGGGTTAGACCACATACTGTTAATTATTCTTAGGGAAAAATTACGTAGAAATAGATGGACTAATACTTTCCTCCTGCACTCTGGAGATTATTGCTTGAGAGACTAATTGGTTCTGAGCTAAGAACATCTAAGCCATATGCTGCCACTCGCTCCTCCGCTTGCCCCTTGCTTGACAGGGTGCTCACGCCCACCCCAAAGCAGGTGTCCGCTTTAGAAAATTATATATTGAGCTGGCAATTACCCTGGTGACTCCTTCAAGGTATGGACCCCTCCATTTGGGCTCACAGCCCTACCTCCTGGTCCCCTGTCCTGGAGTAGCCCTGCAGAGACTTGGGGACTGTGACCAGGTCCGTCCATGTGGTGCTCGTTTCTAGGCCGAGTGCCCTGCTCCTCCAGCCACTTGTCTTAGGTGTGGTTTCTGCACCCCACAGCCTGTGGGTTCTGTTGGTCTCTCCAGACCCTATTCTGTGCAGAACCCAGGAGCGAACCCAGGATGGAAGACTGGGGACGCTGGGATGCGGATCACCGTCTTCACTGTAGACTCTGCGCTTCTGTTAATATGACCTAAGGCTATGTTGATTGCGCTCTGTAGCCGTGTCACCTTGTTGGTTCGTATCACCACTTCAACAAACATTGGTTGTGTTCCTACTATGTGCTAGGCACCAAGCTAGATGCTTGTGCTAATATTTTCTTACTTTCTAGATTGTCTTTTAAAATCCCAGATCTTTCTGTATGGACAGCCTCCAAGCTGGGCCACCCATCCTCTTTCTGCACAGCTGTTATTTTGGCACTTGGGCATCGCACTTGCTTTGGTCCCTTTTCATCTTCTTATTTCAGCCTAGGTGCATCCTGCACTCTTTGGGGGTCGCCCCGGCCCTGGCTGCCTACTTGGGTACGCTGTGGCCACAAGACTTTCCCCGGATTCGTGGACATTCTGCTGAGCGTGGTCCGCTGGCTGGGCCGTGTGGGTTGTTATCCCACCATTGAACTTCCCGGACTGACATGGGCCAGAGGAACTCCCTGCATGGTTCCTTGCACGCTTGGACTCTTTGTCCTTAGATCTAAGTTCATATTCAGACTCCTCACTGGTGGCCTTGGGCAAGTCCTTTTCCTTTCTAGGCCTCAGTTTTGATCTCCTGGGTACAACACTGTGGAATTGTGACTTGGGGAAGGAGAGAGTCCCTCAAGCCTGGGGAGGTGGGGGAGGAAGGAAGCGGGAGAGTGGTGAGGAAGAAGAAGGGGTATGAACAAGTGGAAGATGTTATCAGGGGAAGGGGAGATGCTAAGAAACTTTGCAGGTCTGACACTATTTCTTTAAGCTCTTAAGTTCAGCACTTAAGTTTTACTTCTTTTTATGAAGTGATTTCTCTAAGCCAGGGGCTAGAATATAGCAGGGAGCAAGAAAATATGATTCCTACTCCTAGGAAGCTCAGGAGCTAAGTCCTTTCCATCTCAATTCTCACGGCAACCCTGCAAGACAGTGCCACTATCCGCATTTTACAGATGAGGAAACGGAGGCTGAGCTGGGTAAAGTGATTGGAATCACGGAGCTGGGAAGCCAAGTGGGGAAGCACAACTTGAAGCAGGCTCTGTCGGACCCGTTGCCCGAGTGGCATAATCAAGGCACCTCTCAGTACAGCATCCTGGCTGAGGATGTGACAGTTTCGCCACACACTTTCCTATCCACAACCCCACTTGAGCTCCCAAACCCTCAGTGAGTGATGTTATTCCCTGTTTTATGGACGAGAAGAAGGACCCAGGGGAGGGGTGATATGGCCAGGGGTCTAGGGTGGGCTAGCAGCAGGCCAGTGCCAGACACTCAGTCTCATGACATCCGGACTCAGCCCCCAACCCAGCCCTGCTCTAAGGTAGGCTCGGGGAGTGACGAAGAGGGTACTCTGCCCACAACCTGCAAGTCTGGGGCTGGTGCAAAGACATTTCTGGGCCGGGGGCGGTGGCTCACGCCTGTAATCCTAGCACTCTGGGAGGCTCAGGTGGGAGGATTGCTTGAGCTCAAGAGTTTGAGACCAGCAAGAGTGAGACCTCATCTCTACTATAAGTAGAAAATAAAAATAATAATTAAAAAATTTTTACAAACATCTTGATTACATTAAAAATAAAAAAAAAAAATTTCCCATTAAAAAAAAGAATTAAATAAAAACAAAGGCATTTCTGTTCCATGCCCCAGGTTCCCAGAGTCTGTTTTTGACTCAGTACCATCCCCAAGTGTCTTGACTGAGGGATGGAGGAACTCTGGACCCAGGAGCTCGGTGCTGTCCAAAGTGGGCGGTGACGTTAGATTGCCCAGGCCTGGATTCTAGGACAGAGAGGCCGATCCGGCACATCAGCAGTTGAACAAGATGGAGGAATTTCTCAAAACTGTGCTAGAGGATTTCTACTCTGCCTTCTGAACTGCATCCTGGAGAAAAGGACTGTGTTCTTGCACAGTTTGGGGAAGGATTGGATTAAAGAAAGTGAAAGAGCTTTCTCTCCTACAGGACTTCTCAGAGCCTTTAATACACTATTACACATCGTGGGGCTCCAATAGGAGGACTATGGAAAATAGTGTTGCCCAAACTTATTTGAACACACAATCCCCTTTTTCTTGGAGCATTTCAAGGGCCTACAGTTGCACTGAAAGATACCATAGGTACATGCTGCTCTGGACCCTCTTGCAGGTCATGTCAAGCCTGAGGCCCAAAGTTTTGTGTTGATTGAGTGGATTACCTTGAATGCTTTAACTAGACACTGACTACATTAGTACCCTATTAATAGAATGTCAGAGCTAGAAGAACCTTACAGAATGCAGCCCAACTTCCTCTACAGATAGGGAGATTGAGGCCCAGGGCAATCCAGCAGTATTTGGAAGAGGGAGAGTGGAGGCAGGCCAGCCAATTGGGAGACTATTGTAATACTCCTGGGAGAGGTTCTTGTGGTCTGAGTGGACCACACTCTGCCTAGCATGTGGTGTCCCTGTTAACAATACAGATTTCTTTGAGCTCTATCCTAACCCTAACTTTATAGCTAACATCAGACCCCTGAATAAGAACTTCCAAAGGAGAAAGTCCTAGGAATCTGTACTGTCAACAGTGCTCCCAGGGAAATATGATCCTTAGCCAAATCTGGGAGACAGTGGGCATGCCTAAGGAGAGAGGAAACTCTCATTTACTAAGTGCCGATATTCTAGGCTTGTTATGGGCAAAGTATTACTTAATCCCCACAATACTCTGGAGGACAGATATTGATGTTCCATTTTATAGATGGGAAGACTGAGGCTAAGAGGAGCCAGGCGGTGGTAAGAAGATAATTATAGCCAGCTCCAAACTCCTTGTTCCCTGTAGGTTCTCTTGGGAGGCAGGCAGTAGGAGCAGAGAAACCAGGCCTTCTGGAAGGGAAACTGGGGCAGGCTTGGGCTTTAGCTGCTGGAGAGGAAGGAGTTAGGACCCCCTTCCTGCTTTCAAAGGTTGGGGGCTTGGATTACAGCAGAGTCAGAGGGGGAACCTGGTTTGGGCATTTGCAAGGCTGCAGCTATGCCAGGCCCTGGGGTAAGAGCCTGTGGTAGGCAGAATGATGGCCCCCGAAGATGTCCACATCCTAATCCCTGGAAACGGATACTGTACTGGGTATTTGGCAAAGAGGAATTGAAGCTGCAGATGGAATTACGGTTGCTAATCACGTGACCTTAACTGGGAGATGACCCTGGGTGGTCTGGGTGGGCCCAGTGCGAGAATCCTTAACCCTTTGCACTTGCTTGCTTTTTTCTCGATTTCTTTATTCTACGCAGGATTTACTTTTTTAAATACCCCAGATTTTACAAAGCATGGCAGTAGAATAAAAAACTGGAGTTTCTTTTCATACAAACTTATTTATTTGGATTTTTTTATATTTCAAATTATTGATACATTCAAAGAGTAATTTTAATCTCTATAATTTTTGCTAACCGTGTCAAGTCACACTCGACATCCGAGTGCAAAGGGTTAAAAGCAAAGGGGAGAGGTCAGAGTGATGGGACGTGAGGGCTCACCCTGCCACTGCTGGCTTTGAAAGTGGAGGAAGGAGCCACCAGCCAGGGACTGTGGATGGCCTCTAGGAGCTGAAAAAGCAAAGAAAAAGAAGAATAAGAAAAAAAGACAAGGAAACAGATTTTCCACTAGAGCCTCCAGAAAGGAACGCAGCCCCGTTGAAACCTTGCTTTTAGCTCCGCGAGACCCATGCTGGACTATCTGACTGTGAGATATTGAATTTGTTTTTGTTTTTGTTTTTGAGACAAAGTCTCACTCTATTGCCCAGGCTAGAGTGCCGTGGCATCAGCCTAGCTCACAGCAACCTCAAACTCCTGGGCCCAAGTGATCCTCCCGCCTCGGCCTCCCAGAGTGCTAGGATTACAGGCGTGTGCCACCACGCCTGCCTAATTTCTTCTATATATTTTTAGTTGGCCAATTAATTTCTTTCTATTTTTAGTAGCAACGGGGTCTCTACTCTAGCTCTTGCTCAGGCTGGTTTCAAACTCCTGACCTTGAGTGATCCTCCCGCCTCCCAGAGTGCTAGGATTACAGGCGTGAGCCACCACACCGGGCCTTGAATTTGTTTTAAGCCTCTAAGTTTGCAGGTATTTGTTAGCTATTTGTCAGCGCAGCAATAGAAAACCTGTGGGGAGCGGAACCAGGTCTAGGATGGCTGCCCTGGGCGAGGGCGCAAGCCTGCAGGGCACGTCTTCAAGGCAGACACAACACCGGTTTGGGGGCCTCAACACCGGTCAGACACAACACCGGTTTGGGGGCCTCAGGGACCCTGCCGAGCCTGGCCCTGGAGGCTGGCGGAGGCCCCTGGCCCTGGTCTGCCCGCAGCCCTGCCGGCTCTGCAGGAAGCCCAGCGCTCTGCGCCCGCGTTTGTCTCAGCTAACGTGCTTTGACTGCACGTCACAGAAACCACCTCCGGCCACCAAGAAAGGGCTGCCTTGGGCGGAAGGGGGTCTCACAGCATGCAGGGAATGGGTAAGGAGCCAGACTGCAGAAGAGACCATGGCGGGGCGGGATCCAGAGCACAGCCTCTGCAAGGCTCTGCCTCGGGCCAGCCCCACGCCAGCCTTCAGGCTCTGGGTCACTCTCGTCACAAGTCAGGTTCCCGCAGGGGAAGATGCTGATGCTCTAACCTGCGTAAAGGGCAGTGAGCCCCAAGTTTCCATGTAAAGGGGGCACAGGGAGGGCTGCAGTCATTTCTGGGGTGCTTATCTTGGAGCTGCGTCTGCCTGACAAGGATCTGTTGGAAAGTAGGGAATGCTAGTTTGGGTGGCTTGGGAGCCTCGTGCCCACCCCCAGCCAGGAAGGGCTCGGCACATTGAGGGCCAGTCCCAAGCTGTGGTTAGACTTCCTCGAAGCAGAATCCCTTGCAATCACCAGACGGGAGCGTCACTGCCAGGTGGGCAAAGGCAGCAAGTGTCCACGCCTCTGTCCGCTCTGTTCCTGTCCCAGCTGCCGCTTCTGCATCCAACACTGCCCCCACCCCTGTTTCCCACCCTGGCTTGATTAGCGGAGCTTGCCCTGTGCTCCCAGCTCACAGACACGTCCCTCTTGGTGCACCTGCAGGAAAAGTTGGTGGTCTTCAGCCTGGCATTCAAGGCCCCGGATGATCTTCCCCACCCTCCCCATTTCCTAGCCCTTCAGCTGCCTCCCCCCTAAACCTTTTATCCTACTCTGCCTCCTGTGGCAATCCAGCTCAGTCCTGGTTGCCTCAGTCTCCTCCTCCAAGGTGGGACACGGAAGAAAGGTCACCAGCCCCTGAGTCAAGAGACAAGGTTCTGGAGCCAGCCTTGCCCCTGAGTTGCTACGCCATTTCGTGAGGGTTCCTCTCCATTTCAGGGCCTCAGTTTCCTCATCTGTAAAATGGGGCAATAATCCCTGCTCTGCCTTCCTCCTGGTGGTCTTGAGGGTCAAGTGAGCTGGGGGGTGGAGTGCGGTGAGGCGCATGGCTTGGTGTGCCCCGCCAGCGCTCCCACCCTGGGCCCAGGCCCCAGCACAGCAGGCACCCAGGAAACAATCCAGTTTAGCAAGACCTGCGAGTGCAGAGGCCCTGGCACCACCTATGACTAAGCAGGGCTGGGCTTTTTGGAGAAAAGTGCCAGAAAGCAGAATCCCTACTAGGAAGGACTCCATTCCTTTTCTTTCCTTGTAGGATCCGCCTCAGATGTGGGGGCCGCTTGAGAGAGGTGCCTAGAGCCGCCAACCAGGGGCACAGCTGGGGAAGGGGCTTCTCTGTCGGGCAGGGGGTGGGTTCGAGTCCATCTATGAGCTGGAGACCTTGGACAGGTCACTTAGTCTATCTGAACCTCAGTTTCTTCCTGCATAAAATCAGACCTGTGTAGATTAAATAAGATCACAGGTAACGTGTCGTGTGCTCTCTCCTCTCCCTGCTTTCTTCTTTCTTTACTTCTCTTTGTCTCAGCCCCCTACGGTCCATCTTGGCTCAAAGGAAGTCACGTGCCATGAACTTGAGATTTTAGAGTTTCCTCTGAGCAGTTCCTGGGCTAGTCCCTGACGTCCCGCGGCAAATGCTCTGTCCCTGTGTGTTAAGTCTTGCCCTACAGACTGATCCTTGGTTCTTACATTTTCAAAATCAATTCATCCTTCCTCATAGCAGAAAAATGGGTGGAGCAGGAAAAAAAAGGTGTGAACAAGGCCATCAAAAGGAGAGACAGGCTCCTTCAGTCTTACCCGTCACGGCTCCATTTCCCCTGGCGGTGGGCCAGTGTGCGAAAGAGCAGCCCCAGGAACTTCCTGGCCATGAGGGCGCTTACTCAGGGCCCCACCAGAGGCCATTTGCGTGACACTCTGATGACTTGACTGTTAGTGGCCTCTTTCCTGGTGCTAATGACAGGAGCCTGGAAAGAGGTCCCAGCGTCACTCGTTTAGACCCCCAGCATGGACCGAGCCACTACCTTTATTCAACCACTTACTGGCTATGTGGTCCTGGGCAAGTTTCTTAGCTTCTCTGTGCCTCAATATTCTGACCTGTAAAAGGGGTACCACCACAATGGGCCTTTATAGGGCTGTGGTGAGGAATGCATGAGTTACTATAGGTTAACTGTTAGAACACTGCCTGGTGCATAGTAAGTACTTGTTATCATCGCCATCACCATCACATCATCATATCATCACCACCATTTTTGCTCTGTCCCCAGCCCTGTGCAGGGATGTGTGACCCAGAGATGAATCAGCCTTAGGCCCTACTTGGGCGGGGTTCATGGTCTAGTGGAGGAGCTGAGCCCTGGGTGTGTTAGACCCTCTGCTGAGCCCTGGGCAGAAAATTGAAGGTGACTGCCCCCTGGAGTTGTGCAAGAAGGTGCCCTACGCTGAGGAAGAAGAGTCAGGTCCGAGCCAGCGACCACGAAGCCTCAGGAGAATCATGCGCCAGGGGACGGGGGCAGTGGCCTCTGGGCCTCTCCACATGCCATTCCTCTCTAGAGCTTTCCGCCAGCTCTTTTCTGTGTCAGCCACAGCCCTTGCCTCTGTGCCTTTGCACATACTGTTCCCTCTGGCCCTTCCAAACTCACCCCCAGAGGCCCCTCCTTGAGGAATGTTCCCTAACTCTGGTCTAATTTGGCCCCTGGGCTCCCTTCTACCTCAAAATTCTTTATGGACAGGTCTGTAACTTGTTCACGGCAATATTCCCTGTGCTAGCACACAGTAGGTGCTTAATTAATGTGTGCATGTAGAAGAGGGAAGGTATGTTAGTCAGAATTGCGTTTAGCTACACATGCCAAAAGTCCTTACTATAGACGCTTAAACAAAAAGGTTTATTTTTCTCCAATAACAAGAAAACAGGCAGCTTCTGGCAATGGCTCAGCAGCTCAACAAGATATCTACATTGTCACTGGTTTTTCCTCATGGTCACAAGATGGCCATTGTAGCTCCTGCCATCACATTCATGTTCAAGAAAGAAGAGGAAGCAGGACATGGCGCCTGCCATCTGCCACTTTTGCCAGAAGAAGCAAAACCCTTCTCAGAACCCCAGCTGACTTCCACTCACTTCTCATTGGCCAAAGCTGGGTCACATGGCCACCTCTAGCTAGGGAATCTGGGAAAACAAATATCTAACCTGGAGCTGGAAGCACAAAACTGTAGTTCTATTAGCAAGCAAGAAAGAAGGCCAAGGGTGGTGGAAGGAGGAGGATTAAGGGAGTGGGGAATATAGATGGTGCATATTAATTAGGCAACTAACAGAGGGCTTACAATTTTGACAATAGGAAAGAATGGCCCAGGCCTGAAGATGCTGTTTGCCCAGGGCTGCAGAGCCGGAGGAGGTGGGACTAGAGAGAGAGGCCAACACCAGAGAGATACCCCGCCTCAGCCTCTTAGAGTGCTAGGACTACAGGTGTGAGCCACCGCACCCAGCCAAAAGTTCTTTTTTTTACATTGATGAATATTTGTAAACTATAGAAAAGAAGAAAATAGGCCAGGTGTGGTGTTCACACCTGTAATCCTAGCAGTCTGGGAGACTGAGGTAGGAGGATTGCTTGAGATCAGGAGTTCAAGACCAGCCTATGTAAGGGTGAGACCCCATCTCTACTACAAATAGAAAAACTTAGCCAGGCATGGTGGTGCACACCTGTAGTCCCAGGTACTCAGGAGACCAAAGCAGGAGGATCTCTTGAGCCCAGGAGTTTAAGGTTGCAGGGAGCTAGGCTGATGCCAGGGCACTCTAGCCTGGGCAACAGAGCAAGACTCTGTCTCAAAAAAAAAAGGGGGGGGGCTGGGCATAGTGGCTCACACCTGTAATCCTAGCACTCTGGAAGGCCGAGGCAGGTGGATCAATCAAGGTCAGGAGTTCGAAAACCAGCCTGAGCAAGGGTGAGACCCCATGTCTACTAAAAGTAGAAAGAAATTAATTGGCCAACTAAAAATATATAGAAAAAGTTAGCTGAGCATGGTGGCACATGCCTGTAGTCCCAGCGACTCGGGAGGCTGAGGCAGAAGGATTGCTTGAGCCCAGGAGTTTAAGGTTACTGTGAGCTAGGCTGACGCCACGGCACTTTAGCCCGGGCAACAGAGTGAGACTCTGGAAAAAAAGGAAGGAAGGAAGGAAGGAAGGGAGGGAGGGAAAGAAGGAAGGAAGGAGGGAGGAAGGAAGGAAGGAAGAAAGGAGGGAAGGAGGGAGGAAGGGAGGGAAGAAGGAGAAGGAGGAAGGAAGAAAGGAAGGAAGGAAGGAAGGAAGGAGGAGGAAGGAGGAGGAGGGAGGGAGGAGGAGGGAAGGAGGAAGGAGGAGGGAGGAGGGAGGAGGAGGAGGAGGGAGAGAGGAGGAGAGAAGGAGGGAGGAGGAAGGAAGGAAGAAGGAGGGAGGAGGGAGGAGGAAGGAAGGAAGGAGGAAAGGAGGAAGGAGAGGAAGGAAGGAGGGAGGAGAGGGAGGGAGGAGAAGGAGGAAGGAAGGAGGAAGGAGAAGGAAGGAAGGAAGGAAGGAAGGAAGGAGGAAGGAAGAAGGAAGAAGGAAG